GGATGGAACTGGGTTTACAAAACCGATAATCAGTAATGAGGTCAAGAATGTATCGGGCAGGGGGAGACGTTGAGGTCTCCTTAGGGCTCGTTTGTTTTTATCTTTGTTTTGTTGTCGTGCACGCGTCTCTTTCATATTTACTAGGTGATGCTGTCAGTGGAATTGTACTTGATATTTACTTGTATGAAGTAACATGTAGTCCGCAGATACAGCTCGTCCACCCGTCGCAGAGCTGTTCTTTATCACTTAATGTTGCCACCCTTTTATTCTTCTTTACCTCGTTAATTCTCTGCTAACTCTACTCAGCTCCAAACTAATTCGCGTGATTATTATTGACTTTGTTCTTAATCGTGTTTAGACCCCCCGTGTTGTTAAGACCAGGATTTGTGTCAGTAGGCAACCGTACTCTGTGTCTGAGTTTGTTTTGAACAAGCACTTGAATTTGACACGTGATTAGGATATGAAGTGTAGTCATCATATCTTCAGCTTCTTTACTGTTGAGTATTCTCATCTGTCATGATTCGTCGCAATTTTAAAGGTTAAATGCCGAGTGTTCTTTATACCAGCTCCCGTTTAATCTTCGTCATTAATAACTTTACAGACTGTACTTTTACGTTATTACTCGAAGATAAAATTGTTTTCTTCCCGTTGCTCTCGTTAAATTTTTATCCTTTATGAGTTTACAGACTACACTTTTGTGATATTACTTCACGATCAGAATGTTTTTTTCCTTGCTCTCGTTTAATTTTTGTCCTTGCTGAATTTGTGTTATCCCACAGCTACCAGTTACACTATTTTGTTACAGTCCTGTAAAGTTACATTTTCTTTTCTCACTCTCCTCCGGAACAAGTTACAATGAGCACCGCGCTCCGGCATCTCTCTAGCTCTACTATCAGATTATTACAAACAAATATATTTGCAGCAGCTATAGTATCAAATTTACGACAATATATATGCTCATATTCAAGCCTACTTGCCGTGGTCCGACCAGGCTCAAACCATCTGCAGCTTGGTACGCCAGCTCAAACTGTAACTACAGGAGACCACGGGTACGTGCCGAACAGGAATGTAGGGATCGTATCCAGACTCATCGGACTACCACTTGCCTTCTCTCGCCTCACGTCTGGCTCGGGTAGACTGCTGCTGTCTAGAAGTTATCCCCGCCCAGCAGGACTGTGTTGTCTCTTCTCCTTTAAATGTCGACCTACATTAAGTGTCTCGTCTCCCCTGTCCTGCTGCTGTAAGGATCGGCTGGATCATATCTTAGAGGCAATGAATATGTTTTGTCGGGATACGTCCGCACTCTCTCTGTATATCTGGTGTCGGACGGCTAGATTCTTGGCACTGGTAATTCAATGTTTGTGATAGCTTTAGTTGCTTTCGACTTTGGCTATTAATAGATGTCTATAGCGCTTAATCGAATTATTTAATCGAAAGTTTTGTATTGTTCATTTGAGAGTATGTTATTGATTACTATGGTCGTGACGTTGTTCAGAGGTTACCAAAATAAGGTCATAACCCAATTTAAGTTATGACGGTGGGTTTTTTGGATTCTCAAATCCCTTTTTTGGCTGTTGCACGGGCACGATAAAATTGTTAGGAAAACTGAGATGCTTTGTACATGGAGAGCATGATACGACACGTATATTTCCTTTTTACAAGATGACAGTATCCTAATCTAACAGGTTCTATGACAGGCCTGTAACTGATGTACTGGTCTACCATCTCGTTACAAATAACCGGAATATAATCGGGATTTTACCAAACAGTAGATCGCTAGTCACAATAGACTTGGTATTTTGAAAATAAAGGGGTAGAAATCAGATCACGTACCAGTAGAGGTTCTTATCTCGTACAGTAACTAGGTGCTTATCTCGTACAATAAAGTTGCTTGATTATGAGATGTGTGGTGGAGAGTTGTAGATGGGAAACTTTGGGCCGAACTTTGTGAAAACAAGGTTTTGCTGATTTCCTGATTTGGTGATCTAGCTGGTATACCCAAACTTTGTACCCAACTTTTTGTGGAGATCAGATAACTTCATATTTTGCTTTAAAACTGCATGATGTAAAACAAGTCTAGCAGATCGTACAGGCTTAGTTTACCGGAAAAAAGGCTAGACGAGTTCGGGCCTTGTTTCTATTACCTGCGGTTTCTGGTTAGGCCCACAAATAGTGTCTGAGAACCAAATATTTTGTTTTAATCCGTATTGTACAGTCTGAATAGCACGTGCAGACACTAGACAGTGCATCGTCGTACAAATTGTGATTAGCCTCCCCCTGATAGCCAGAGATTTTACGGTAAAGTGACATGAAGCATTATAGACCTTTATATGTACTGATAAACTTAAACGTGACATTTGGTTAAGGAGTATTGATATATTAAGGCTATTACTGTTGATGACATAACAAGCGAAGTGTTCATGGTGTTTAAAAATGGTCATCTTGATCAACGATCAGGTTTGGCTCGACGCATTTTCACTTGAACTTTAATTTCTGTATTGATTGAATTTGTTAATACCACAAATGATCTGCGCTGGTGTGTGTCTCGGAAACACTGAACCTTGCTTTTCACCCCCAGGTTGCTGCCCCCACCTGAAGCCCCACTCCCCCAGGGGTGTTACGGGTGATACCACCTGATCTCCTGTGGGGTATAATGGTTACAAGGTTATCTCTATCTTAGTTTAGAAGCCTCGTAATGCTCTTCTATCCATCAAGCTGTTCCATTGAGTACTTGATTACCATGTAAGTAGCTGGCAATCGTTTCACCTAAATCAAATTAGATTAGAGATTAGCGGATTACCGCTGGGGAGATGATGTGCTAGTCAGCCCCTGGGTTAGCGCGATAAAACCAGGAATTTAGGGGGTTTCGTGAATGAAAGTTATTATCGATTTAGAGCTGATATTCAATAGAAAATGTAAACCGATCTTTGAGGTAAAGTCTAACTTATCGTCACCTCACGGAGCTAGTCTTGATAACGTGTAAGAATAAAGCCTAATACCCGTAACAATTTCATTTGCCTTTCAATACATTGTCCCCCGAATAACCCCGAATAACGGGGGCATTCAGCCTCTTTGAGAGCTCAATTCTAGTTTTACATGCTCTGATCCTTTTTTAAGGTTGACGTTCGTTTAAATTTGTACACTGCTCTTCACATGACCTCAAACTAATAAATGAAACTGGTCACTTGACACCATGACAACGCGTCATACCCCATGGGTAGTTATGGCAACGCGTCCGACCCTTCTCCCACAGCGAAGGCAAGCAATTATATAAGGAGGAACGTTTTGCAGGCAGAAAGAGGGGCTCGTTATTTCATTTCTGCTCTAAATCTATAACAAATTTAAGATTCGTTTATCGATTGTTGATATTAAAAAGTAGCATATATTCTCAGTTTTGCGATGAATTCTATCACAACATATTTTCCGTCATTGAATCAGGGAACTAATAACATAAACATTCTAGTAATCTTGTCTCAGTTTAGCCTGTTCGTGTGCCCTATGTCTGCCCCTCCGACGCTAACTATACCATTGTGAAGGTTTGACAGTTTTATTGCTATTGCTAAGGGTGGGGGTTTGCTGGAATACAGTTGTGCGATACCACGATATTAAACATACAATATACCTGATATTAACCATATCTTGGTTGTCATCTCTAAGTGATCTTAATCAGTGAAACTATTATCAGCTTTTACTTTCCGTATTAATCAGCATATATATTTTTTTTCCTCGGAATTATCCACCCGGGACTGCTTTCATGTTTCCTGATGTTAATCTGACTGTGAATCCTGGCTCGGGTGATAGCGACGTTGTGTCTTTGTAAGAGAGAGGTGGTATTAAATGTCTCAAGTTTCACACCAATCTTTATTTTGTTTGTAATCTAACCAACCTTGTTTCCATTTCTCAACTTGCCCGATGAAAGCTTGAATTTTGCCAAGATACTCTTTTTTTTCTCTTCCTCCCCTGTGTCTTGATATGTTTCAGATTTGAAAATTACCGCGTACATTTCCGCACGTGTTATCGCGGTAAATTCCGTGTCGTGATGAATTAGAGCATCGGGTTAACACTAAGAAAGACTCGTAATTATCTCTCTTGGCCATCATTGAACTTTAGCAAAAAATGTGCAGTGTTCAAAACGCAAAGCCTCGTTTAACTAGGGCCCGAGAATATATATCACATTCTCACACAATTCGGGAAAAGATAAACATTTTTATATCAGTATTTTAAAATGCCCATTATTTTCGGACCCTTTTTCTGGCCCAGGCAGACATTTAGCAGAAATGCGTTTAAAATACGTGTTTTGTTGCCTTTCCCCAAAATTATCCATCTTTCAAAAACCCCGCTAAAAACCCGTCTCATAGTCAAGATCGCTATTCAATTACTCTCATTATATAATGGATATATATATCACGGCCGGTTGACGGATACTAGAAAGAAAACACCGGTTAAAGCCAAACGTCAATACCGCGTATTACACTTTGTAGACCCTATAGTAAACAGTTACGTTTATTACCGATTGTAAGATCGTGGTCACGTGACATCTCCCTTTGTGCACTTAAGTTATCACGTCCAACGTTTTCTCTTCCACGATGATTTAATCATCATATTTTTTGTTGGATAATTGTGCTTTTGATCCTAATGATTCCAATTAAATCAAGCAAAACCTAATTACGGAAGCAGTCACTGATATAGAAGCCTAATGCACAACATTTTTTTACTATATCAGGATTGCATCGACTTCCTCGCCAGTAGGGCTACTGGTGATAGGAAATATTTTCTGATTTAAAATAGTAGAGTAGAGAAGAGAATATCGGCAGCCATGCAGTGCATTTCTGACACTTCTGAGCGTTGTTAAACTCTTTAACACTTCGTGTTTTACCGGTTGACTAATCAGCACATGTTTGCCACGGGATCTTTCATATCCACCAATCTCATCACGTCATTTCAACCCCGTGGCCAATCAAATGATCTGATTTTACTCACGTGACCAAACATTCTCTCAGCTGCATGTCCCAACCTCACTACGAGTACCCGTCGCGCACCACGTGGCTAGGTTACCAGGCAACGAAACCGGAGCACGTGCTTACTACGACGACCAATAAGATGCAGGACAGCAACCACGTGACTTCTTATCCCGACTGGAGGCAGAACTCGGGCGATTCCTACTTTCCGCAGGTTGGTTTTCTCTTGACACTGCATTTCGTCTCTTCTAAATCCAACACTCATGAACGAGAAATGTCATCGCGTATATTACTCTCGTATTTTTTGACAGCATTTAGATCATCTTGTAGACCCGCGAAAAAGAGCTGTTTAACTACTTCTTAGTTTTTTCTTATCTAACCTAACTGTTGGGCATGTCTGGCGGTGCCTCTATGCAACCCACTAAACAACAAGCTCGTCTGTTATTACAGTGTCAGTTTAGCTGCCAGTTCAAGGATATTGATACCAAACACGATCTTACCTCCGCCGTCGCCCCACTTTCCCCTCAACCCTCCCTTCCAGACCAAAAACCCGTGAGTAGCCCTTTATTCATTAACTTTGATCGTAATCTGGATTTTTATTTTTTCGTATTTTACACCATGATAAAAAAACATAAAGCGGCATGTGCGGATAGCATTGTCATACATGGATTAAGGTAAGGTGATGATTTCGTTGAGAAGAAAAAACCTAGTCGGCGGGGCGCAGGAGCTCCACGAAAAAAGAAAATTCTACCGCCTAAATTTATTAAGTGTTGTCAGCCTTTTCGGCCTCAAATTTTAAACCTGGCAACTGGCAGCTGCTTCACTTTTTTAGTGTTTTCGTTCGAGTCCTTTCTCCGTTCATAGTCCCACGTTATATTATTGCGAGGTGTTTAGAGTATAATCGAACCTTCAGCCTGCAGCGGGACCGATAAAATCACCGGCTTTGTAAAATGTTGTAACTCGATGCCGTCCTGGTCAAGTAGCAATTCATATTATAAATTTGATAATGTTTTTGAGCTGGTATGGCACCTAAAATACCTGTGACTAGTGCTGATAAGAGGTCCCCTGCGTCATGCACCTGGACCTTATCAGTAAACACCAACCAGGACAAACTCTGTTCCTCCAATCAGGTTCCACCTGCCAGATCACGTGCCTATAGGGCTCGTACTTACGATATAATATATGTTGTGGTGACTCGATAACATATTAATCAGGACGCCAATACGGTCGATGTTGACCTACAGCCCAGATTTTGTCATATATTAACAGAGGATGTGGTAAATTTGGTATGCGTCAGCCTCAGTAACTAAAGAAAAATCAGGGTAAAACTTGTCAACCTTAAAATAGAAAATGTTAAATCAGCATCTAGATTTGGAATTCCACTCGAGGTCTAACCTAGTCAATAATCATTGATCCCTACGAATTACATTTCGCAGTGTTTTAGCCCGCGGGCGCGATTTCCAAGTTCTAACGTATTTCTTGATACCGATAGTAATATCCGGATGATTCACATATTCAAATATTTCCAGTAATTGAGTATCCATGACAATATCACGGCTCAGAAGGCTCGCTAATTTTAAAACTTCCCCATTGTACGCTCTGTCTCAGCCCCTCTTCTGATCCTCTTAAAGCTGTGACCGTACTGCTGTCTTTTAATACCGGCCAAGCATTTGATTTTTGTGGTTGAATATTTCGACGCCATCCGCGTGCCAGACAAAGCGGCTTAGCTGTAGGTTTCTGGAATTTTTCAGCCGTATTTTATTGACCGTAATCTCGTTTTTACCAACTCGTCAAATTAGACGTTAACCCTGTAGTTTAACTCTAGTTCACGTTAATTTCCCCTTTAAACAAGCTTACTATTACTATTAAAACTACAGGATATAGGGGTAGTTACAGCGCTGCCATGGCACAGCGCTGACCCGAGCTAAAAATATAGAAATACTTTTCTTAATATCTTTAAGAGCCTGGCTCCAGTAGCAGTATCAGCTCACCTAATGTTGTGCTTACTGGCCTATATGAATAAAGTTGGGAACGTCATTTACACAATTAAATTACTAGTGCAGTTATGATTTAATGTCAATAATCCTGACGATAAATCGATGATTGATCATTTATAGATTCCACTGATCAAATATAATACTCTAAGATTAAGAATATTATCATAAATTAGGATAAGGTAATAGTTAATAATAAATTATCGGGAGTATAGCTTTCGAAAGGTCGGAGCCAAAAATATTTCTATAAATAATTGGGCTGCCTGGGCCTCCGACTCGGAGGCCCTGGTAGCCCAATTATTTATAGAAATATTTTTGCCATAATTCGGACAAGTAAGACCTTAGGCTTAAACTAGGAGAAATTTAGGTTGCTAGTCAAAAACTTGCCTATAGTTTCCGATGCAATTTTTAAAAAAACTTAAAGTGAGTGGTTGATCAAACATAGATTCCAGGAATCAAAGATAGGATTCCAAGAACATTGCCACGAATTAGGATAAGATAATAGCTATTAGACAATTGTCGGTAGTATACATTTTGAAAGGTATTTCCCAATTATATTATTGGAACCAGGAAAACTTAAAACTAAGGGAAGTTTAGTTTGCTAGTCAAAACATAGCCTATTATTTCCGATGTAAGTCGTCCTTTTTTGCAAAAAGTTTTAGTAATAGCTTTTATATTAGTTTTGCACAACTGCGTCTAGTCGAAGTAGTGTCAAGTCTAGTAGACGTTTAAGTCTGATAGACTTTAAATTTTCTACCTTGGATAAGAAGTTATTATGAAAGGTATCTTGGCTAGATCAAGATTGAGAAAACGGTCCCCCCACATACATATTTTGATGTATACTAAAATTACCTGACAATTTTAGTTGCATGTTATTATCTTCCCGAGTTAATACAATAAAATTTATCAATAAAAATGTCCAAAATTATGAGTAAGTTTGACAAATTTAATCATATTAATTAATCATGGGACTTTATCATCAAACACTTTATCTGAAATTTGAATATAAAGAAAAAGCCGATGAACAGAATCCGTGATTTTAAAGTTTTTGTCAAAGTAGTTTTGATGTGCCAGGTACCTGATATTTTTAAAGTTTTCCGGTGGTCCCTGCAATCTCTTCCGTGCCCTATTTTAATGACTCCACGTTCATATTAATTGTTGCAGAAATCTCAGACCAAATTGCTGAATTCCAGCAGTTCCGATTGAAAATTATGACTGGCTTGGCGCCATTTCAAAACCTTCTTTAATTTATCGTTTGAAACTGACTGTTGGTTTCCTTGTTAAAAAGTTTAAAACTTAAACCGTTTCAATTTATCCGTATCGGGGTACTCAGATTATGGGCAAGGTTGCCGACTCAGTTGAACACGTCACGCTTTTCTAGGGTTCAGTTTTTTTATCTACAGTGCCATTAAAGATTCCTTGAAAGTCACCCGAGATTTTTTTTTCTCGAGTCTGTGGCCTCGGTATCAGAACTAGGGTTTCCTCGTGCCGTTCTCAGATTTGCTCGCTCTAGTACACCAAGTTATTCCCATAAATAGCCGCTAATAGTATATAAATTATTATAGTAAATAGTAGTAAATTTCTAATATCATTATCATTTTTTATTTTTCTACGAGTCCGATCAATAAATTTATCAACTCATTGAGTTTAAAAGTTTAAACCTTCTTTGCGACTCAAGTAGAAATTAATTTTTCAATTTCTTTATCAAAATAATAATAGTTTTCCACCGCAAAGAGAGCTGACTTGAGTGGTAAATATCAATCATCATTACTATCATTATTCCTCTATACTCCCCCACGAACATTTGATTAACCCAATAATGTTTAAAACTTTAAAACTTTTAGCAGCAATAAATAAAAGTTTTTACTGTTGGTTTATCCAAGTATAATAAACGAGATCTAATTAATGCTAACCCGAAAAGGGCAGTAACTATTCCTAACATCATTAGGCCCTTTCGTCGACTAAAAAAGTATAATCTTCTTTTCCGAATAAAAACGGAATCTAATAATTTGTTATTATTATATTATAAAGTTATTATTATAAAGTTATTATTTTATTATAAAGTTTATTAAACAAGTTCTAACGAAAGCCTTTCTCCTGAACAGCAAATAGGGAGCAGTACCACGGATAATGGTACAATGGTGACGGACACAGCAAAGTTACAAGAATACCTTATCCACACCAGCAATACAGGTACAATCACTACCTTTACTAATACAAACCTACTGCTAACTTACTAATAAAACTTATATAACTTATAATTTACTTAATATCTCACTCTATTACTTACTTATCACTCTATTACTTAATTATCACTAAACTTACTCACTGCAATAATTCTCTCTTCCTCTCTCTCTTCTTCTCATTCTCATTTCCGGGTATTTCCTTATTTACTACTCGTAAAACAAGTGTATTTCTAGATATGAACTAAATTTCGGCATAAGGAGGTTCTAAGTTATAACTCAATTCTTTTTACAACTGATTTTCCTTATTTCCGTTATTTTTCAAACTTATTTTGATTTGGTTTATTCTTGGCCTCGCTTTTCTTACATACCTCACATACCTCACAAGGACTTCCGTACTTCTCTTATTTTTCCCCGTATTTTAGTTACTTTGATGCTTTGGTACTTCCTCACTTTTTATGTCTCCGTTTTCAACAATCACCCCTTCTGTATGGCAGTTAGTCACAAAAAATTAATTGACCAAGACCTATAAATAGCCCTAAACAGTGTTCTTGTTGAAAAGTTTTTCCTTTGACGATTTCCAAACTGTGAACACATCTTTGTCTGCAAATGTAGCGATGTGCCCTGGTTTTCTCCTAATTCCTCGGATTCCGTCGTTGAAAGGAAGCTGATAGCTGGCTCGTTAATGAATCTTGTTGATTGAATGTCAAGCTGTATCGGGAACTAGAGTATAGATAGTTCCAAATCGTCGCCTCCCTGACGACGCGCTGATTTCTCGCGGGGTTTATCGGGGAATTGATCCTCTCCACCCCTGTCAACCCCACCACCTATTGGACAATTTATCGGCTCATCAACATCTGTGTCTGATTAGACCCACTCTACCACCGGCCATATTCCGACCAGTCAGCCGGCCGACTTTTGTTCAGAGGTAAAGGTTTTTGACGGGCTTTACTCTCTCCGTCTTGTATTATCTTAACTGTCATGGGGAAAATGTGGAGATGGGGATTGTGGCGGGGGCCAGGGCCGTGAAACAGGGACACAGGCTGTACACATGATCATGTGTTACTAGATACCCATGTTCTGCAGTCTAGCCGACTTGGAATTACAACATCATCATCTCCTCCAATCTAAAATATTGGTATTTTAGGTCATGTCAGATGTCGTGCCACTTTGTGACCTACATTATTTTGCTCGTGGGAATCTCCTGCTTGATTGTGGTTCTCTAGTTTCGGTGTATTTTCCTGTGCTGTTTATTTCCCACTCAGTATTTAAAACCAAGATATAAAGGATATTCCCAGGGTATGTCGTTCACAAGTTCCCCTAACTGCTAACTCACCAGTTAATGCTATGATTCCTGCAGATTTAATCGCTTTAATTTCGTCCTCCAGTCGCATAAAATGCTGCTGATTCGGTTATGTGTCCAGACTTCCAAGAAATTGGTCCAATGGTTCAGCCACACCTGATGTTATCGGCCCACATATTATTACCTTTCAAGTTCGTAAGAAACAGCAGATTTCACGTTGGCACAACTATAAAATACCAGACAACTTTCATAATTCGTGATTTTATTTACCTACCGCCGAAAAGTTCAAAAATTTGTCAATTTTTATAATTAAATTTATTCTCCTCTCTATCAAATATTTGATTAGCCTGTGTTTCTGATTCGTTTTGAGACCATCGCCCCATATACAACAGATCAGCAGACCCAACTTCCGAAACAGTTTCTTTCTAATCCATCAAGATTTCGACCGAAGATAACAAATTGACCTTATCTAGCCACCGTTCTGACAGGCTTCATCGACTCTAAAAGAAAGGAGTCTTCTTTTCATGGCGAAGTTTGTTGTGAACATTTGGGGTTTACAAAAATTTAATCAAAACGGCGAGTCTGCACCAAGTCAAGAGGGTACATTCAGAGCATATTCATGCCATATTCATCATAGATGTATAATATTTTCATGGATAAGTTAAATTAGATTTGGTATATTCAGACAAAACACCAAGGATAAGATTCGGTTGTGACTATGAGGCAGCGTTCCACTAGACCTCCACCATCATCTACCAGCTACCTTCCATCACGTGACCCACCGACAGAACCCGTACGATTTCAATTCCTCTTCGCTCACTGTTTTCTCTTTTCAAGCGAGAGCTGTGAAGCCTTAGGAAGAATTTTCGAAATTAAGTTAAATGGTAGTAAGATGAGATGTGACACAGAGCATGTTTACGAGCCTGACACTAGATCCCACGTGGCTGGAAACAGAAAATCACGTGACCTTTTCACGAGCTGCAATTGGCTGGAGAGTGGCAGTTACAGGTATCTTTTTTCACATCTTCCTAGGTGCTGAACTGTGTGATATCGTTCTGTATCACCCTCCTTCATCCACTCACACGTGGGCGAATACTGGGACCTGATTGGCCACTGTAAACCACGTGACAGCATCTCCGGAAGGTGGTTGGTCAAGTTCTGTCCTTCTCACAGCTTTTCAACTGTTCCACGCGGGGATGAAGGTTGGAGGGTTTCCCTGACTGGCAGGTGTCTCGTATTAAAAAACAGCGAACTCAACAACAACCAAGTCGCGGAAGGATTTATCAACACCATATCGCTCCCCGTAGCTGAACCCAACTTACTTATACATGTAGATCTCTTATCGTATATAGATCTCCACCCAGTCAGTCGGGCAGTAGGATCTGTCGCTGGTAAGCCCTGATCTTGGTCTATAATTTTACATCCTGTTTTATCAAAAACTACGGATAAGGACCATTTTGACAATTCTAATCCGTGCCTGAAAATTTCCGGTTCCGCCATTTCAATCTTGGCAAGCATCGAACTTCCTGGCAGAAGAATGTGGTACAAATCTTAAGTTTCAAGCTCGCCTGTAATTGGTTCATTCTTGTCACGTGACTGATGACATGGTGAGCCGTGTGATTGATGACGTCACCAGGTAGCCTATACCAATACTAAGGACAACGGTTAACTAGGAGATCGTATTCTGGGCCGGGTCACTCCAAATCCAATAACGAGTACAATATACTCCCTCCAGCTCACTAAGTCCCCAGCCATTATAGCCTGTGGTTGGTTCGTTAACAGTAGCTTGTGTTTAGTTGGGAGTTGCCGTGATAAGTTTGATCGTTCACTCGAACCTCGCTGTGTAGTTGCTAAACGTCGCCCATATCTGATAACGGCCGCTCTTATTATTGTTTGAAGAGAGTGCATGCTACACCAACACTGCCAAGGTATTAACATTGTCTTAGAAAATTGTCTTTATATTTTTTACGAGAAACCCTATATTAAAGACTGCTGCAATCTTTTATTGCTATTTACTAGCTAGATATACTGTAGTTTTTAGACGCGCTGTTGAGCCTCCTGGTTCACGAAAAGAATGTTTGTTTTAACTTTCCTAAAACCTTGTGGTCACCCTCACGACAAATTTGCGATTTCGTCATTTTATCCCAATCTTATTTTCCAGAGTTCCATCCCGGCTTACGTCCGATTTCATCATTTTCAACTACTGTCAGCACTAGTGAAATATGAAGCAAACATTCCAGCTCGCTGCCTTCAACCTAACTTCTATTTGTGAATATATTCCTAATCTCAGATAATACCCGCCTTAAAACACAGCACTTCTACACTGCACACTTCTGACTTTATCCCTGTGTCTGATTTAAATCTGCCGTGGGAAAACTTTAAAAGAACGCAGTGCGGGGTAAGATCACATCTGCCCGCCTGACAGCTGTGTATTTCAAAAAGTTTGTTGTCTCCCCAAATAGTCGCTATCCGGCGTCCCAGTTAGAGTGTCTTGTGAGGCGCCCAGATCCATTCCAGACTGCGCGGGCATTATTATTGGCAGCTGCCAGAGTTGCGATAAATTTAAATGTAGTCAATCCTATCTACTGGGGTTATGGTAAGGGAGGAGACAGCGATAGTTTTATTCGATCCGATGGTCCGGTCGATGGACTTCACTACTTTTCTGGCTTCAGTGTTGTCATGTAGCGTATATATTTATTTCAAATCTGGTGATAGATGTAAAGCAACTGTTCATACGTTTCCACAAATCCCCAAATAGACAATGTGCAACAGCCAGGTACAGACGATCCTCACATGAGCCGTCACGTGACGTCACGTGCAAATCTCGTGACGTCACCTTGGTTGCCATAGCGTGTCACGGTGACAACGCGTGACGGGTCACGTACAAGCATGGCTGGGTGACACCTGTCACTGCGTAAACGGAGGTGAAAAGACTGCAGTCTCCTCCAAAACCCACCCGCTATTTCCCACCGAGCCAGGTCATATGATGCAAACACACGGAATGACCCGGAATCTTCTTTGTCGAGAAAGAGAGAGGTGCTATTCTCTTCTTACTGAGAAATTGAAGTTCCAAATAGAACATGAGCGGTGAGCAATGCTAGTTCAGTACCAGGATTATCAGTTACATAAAATCACGTGACTTAATCAATGCTCCCCATTGGCGGAAGTGATCTTGCTGACAACTTCCAGTTGACGGTAGGTTGGATCATGGGAACGGAGCCATGGTAACACAGCCGGGGTTTCCATGGTAACCGCTGTACCATTCTTATGACTGGAGCGTCATTTTAATGTGTCATATTTTAATGAGCAGTGGGTCATTTCCCTACAGTAGGCCCTGTCACCGTCTCTAGTTCACTCAGACAGCATATTTTGATTGTGCCGACCAGCATGTACAACAAGAGAGACTGCCAGCACTTTGGAATGTCGGTCTCACAAAGGAGAGTCGATCGAGCCATCTCAATCTCGGGATCCCAAAAATTCTGAAAATTTCATCACTGGTCTTGTAACACCTCCTTTTTACGACTACTTTGTGGGCGAATCAACCCTGAATTAGAGAAGAATTAGAAAACACCCTCTCTTACATTTCACTATTATTATTTTTCTGCCGAAATACATTAATATTTTATCCTAATCATCATTTCGATATTCAATATTCAATACATTACTTGGAATAAAGGTCAGATTCCATTATTTAAGTTTAAGTTCACTTCGTTCCACACTATTCCCTCGGGTTTTCAACTGACCAATGTGATTTTTTCTTCTCCAAAAGTTAAATCATCCAACTAATGTTATGTTATCTATAGACTCTCTTTAATATACCTACCTCTAACCCTGACCTCCCCCCCCTGCAGTAGCAACGAATGGTATTCAGCCATTGTCACCTACTTCCACGTCAGATCACGTAACCAGTTGTGGCTCTCCTATTTCTGATACGAAGGTTAGTACAAACATACAAACATACAAACATACAAACATACAAACATACAAACATACAAACATACAAACATACAAACATACAAACATACAAACATACAGACATACAAACATACAAACATACAAACATACAGACATACAAACATACAAACATACAAACATACAAACATACAAACATACAAACATACAAACAAACGAAGCTATTTATTTCCATTAGAATCTGTCTTCGCTGAGTCTATTCAGAAACGATCAGAAATTTTAATGAAAGAAACATCAAACGAAGAAGAGTGTAAGACACTAATCATCCTCGAACAGAGAAACATCATCGATAAAAACTACATACAATTGTATTTACAACTTGTTTTAATAAAAATGTAAAAGTGACCAGCTAACCCCCTCCTCCTCCCAGGACCAGTTGATGTTAAGAACACTCCGGTCCCCTCCTCGTGACATGATGTGCTCCTCTCCTCCCTCCAACAGCCGGTGCACGGCCGCCCCCGCCTCATCAACCGTCAGCCCTCACAGCCCCGTCTCCAGCAGCGATATCGCCGGGATCGGTTAGTTCGGAAAACACAGTGTTTTTAGACATACGTATCATCTGTTCGCAGTACTTATTAAATCCGATCCTTAGATTACTTGTCAGCTCGCTGCTATGATCTGTGTCTTCTGTCAGTTATCTTCCCCGTCTGCGTATATCTTTGTCAGTTAACGTGTTCGTCTGTCAGTCTGTCGGTATGTTTGTTTGTGATTTTGTCGGCGTGTTTGCTATTGTCTGTTGTTTGTGTCGGTAGATGATTTGTTAATGACTTCTTATCGAGCCTTACAGTTTACCTACCCCGCCTTCAAGTTTTACTATCCGTCAGCTTTTAGTGGTTACCAGGTCTATGATAGTAACTATAGCCTTCACAAACTATCAAACTCATTAAAATCTAATCAGAAGTTGGTAATCTGTGTCTGATAATAGATAATATCGGCCTGTTTCACGATCCAGTAACTCCACTGCAGGTCCCCTCTTTTCGGATACAGTCTAAATTAATAAACCCAAACCTGTTGTTCCGTCTGGCGGGATCTGACGAGATTAATAAACTTCTTAATATGCTGCTAACAATCAGCTAACAACACATCTGGCATGCTGTGTCACGTGATGCAAACCGATCAATCATGTCCCAGGATCTGTAACCATAACAACTTGCGCGCGTTGCTGCAGTAATGGAGTGACATGATTTTCACGGAGTTAAATGCTTGGCCCGTATGGGGTGTCATTAAGGAGCGGTAGCCGTGACTAATAACTGGCCTGACGTGCTTAGTCCGTTTTATCTACGCTTCAATCACGATGAAAGTATGATAACAATCTTCCCTGCATTCCTGCAAATGATCGATATTTGTCAATACTGTAATGTGCAATATCTCACCCAAAACTTAGCGACAAGAAAAACCCTGGATGAATTTAAGTTTATAAATTTGTGATCAGAAAAGCTATTGTTGACCTATCTAGAGATATTCTGGACTTTAGTCGGCGATGCAATCTACTTGAATTGAAAGTACATATTTAGCGCGGGAGACATTGTGTCTTGCAAACGTGATCATTTCCAAAAATAAATGCTCAACTGTTTTTAAAACCCTTTCCACCTCATACCTCGAAGTTATCTGTTAACTGTTTAAAAATAACTGCGACGAATTTTTTTTCGTATTCTTACTTTTTTTTACAGGAAAAACGAAGAAGAAGAGAAAACCTCGAACTTGTTTTAGCGTTGGTCAGATGCTGGTATTAGAAAATACGTTCCAGCAAACCAAATACGTCTCAATAACGGACCGGGGCAAGCTAGCCGGCTCTTTAGGACTTACTGACAGTCAAATAAAGGTTAGTTTTAATGCAATTCAAACATCTCTACTATAATTCAAAGAATTGTTTTTGTTGTCTGTATGTACGACCGCCCACGTGCAAATTAGATGAAAAATAGGAATTTAGGTAACAACCAAAAGGTTCCATAGCAACGGTGTTTTAATGCACACATGCACGTGCAAAGATTGTTTTAACGTCATTTTGATCGGTTTTGTGGTAATGACGTTGTGTTTAACTTTAAAGTGTTTTATATTTAAATCGGCTGTATCTTCGGTTGAGATGGATATTTTTTGATGCGGTTAAAACTTTCTTTCAAAGAATACTACTAGCTTCGTCCCTGTTACAACGGGCTTTCTAGTGTTATTATAAATTAGTAATATTTTAAGAGACAGTTAATAATATTGAGGTACATGTCATGATATTGTTAATGTAAATTCCGATGTATTAAGTAAGATCATAAATGATGTGGTAAATAAATATAGTCTAATCCCGTGTGATCTCTGTTTCTGTAGGGTTTTAGAAATTCTGTCACTCTTTGTAGGCAGGATTTTTGTGCAGAAAAAAAAAGAAACTGTAAAGTTATCAGAATCCCATTTTTCTTCCTGTCAAACATTGTACGGATTGCGTTTACGTTTGCAATTCTTCGCTGCCTCGTGCAATAAGTGTCTTGCGGAATAGACTTAGGGTGACTAGCTTTTTGTAACGTGGCTGTACATTGTTGGTACGAGAGGAATGCAGTCCAAGTGTTTTTGTTCGCTTAAATTTTTGTGTCTACTTTACCACGTGATGCCCATAAAGGAGTGTTTAACCAAATACTTCTCCAGGTCTGGTTCCAAAACCGAAGAAGCAAATGGAGAAAGACCATGGATTCTAAGGTAACAGAATATATCTCTTACACCAAACTTATTATTGAATGCTAGTCCTCTTGACTGTATCCAATATCCATAATTTATAACAGTTTGTATGAGATGAAGAGCCTAATAAACGATAGTAATCTACATGATACCGCCAATTTAATTATATGTCAGTTCCACTAACATCCACGGCAGAACATAGTTTTGACACGTGGCACACGACCTCTTTATAACTAGTACAGTTAAAGTTATAGAGTTGGTGTTGTGAACTCTAAACTCCTCATCAAACCCCGTGATAGAACCCCTGCATTAGCCACATCTTATGTAAAGCAAATGACTGTAAACTACTGGCTGACTTAATGACGACTTTTTGATTTCCTATGAGAGGAGGTTTAACGAGATTCCACATTTGGCACTGGCCCACACTTATAACAGAGTGTTGAAATATAGTAACTAGTAGTCACGTGTCAGTCACGTGTTCTCTGTAAAACTTCCTTACTTTTACTGTGTTATTTCCATCCTGCACTGAGTTTCCTCTGCCATATCCCCAAACCTTATAGTCTCAATCATGCTGGATTACAATGTAAATCATGGGCCGTTGCCTGGCAACAGAGTGCACGTGTAATTAATGCATATAGCACGTGCCATGTTAGCAATACGCTACGTGAGCTAGGGGTGCGATGTAGTGCAATAAAGAGCAGTAAAGTGGCGCATTTCACACCTTCATCCCCAGTTCACTGGCCATTAAACTGTTCTGCTCTCTCTAGCACACTCCTTGATGTGGTCCTGCCACAATCCTTCTTAATTTCACCCCCTCCACATAATACGACATCAAATCTCAGATAAATCAGCGTTTTCAGTAATTTAATGCGATTAAAGGCGACTAATTTTGGACGGCATTCGTCCGATTAGCGAAAGTTTACTGAACACCTGATTTAGTTCAGATCTTTAATCAGAATTTCGCTGGATCTAGATACATTTCGTTGAATCCTGTGCCAAATCTGCCAATCCACCAAATTCCATGAGCCTAATGTGACGTACGGTCTAGAGATTTAATTTGTCGCCGAGAATGTTGCAAATGAAATATGTAGCCGACCAACGCTGATACGAATTACGTACAAGGTTAAAGTTTTTTACAGTAAAAATCGTGATCGAAATTTTTTCTTTAATCGTTGTAAATCGAGAAAACAATTATAATCGTGAAAAGTTTTAAAAACATTCTCTAATTTTTCTAGTGACATGACCTAAGCAATGATTCCGCGATTACCATATCATTAACATTAAAATAAAAAATATGGATATCTAAAACAACATTCAGTAATCGGCAAAATACACTTCTATGATAACAATATTTTATGATCTTATTAAAAGCCGGGGCTAAAATTACAGCCAAAAGTTAATAAATATTTTAATAAATGTTTATTTCAGGATCATCATGGAAACTTGCGACACATGAGTTCATGTACTGATCAGCAGCTCCCTCCTTCACAACAATACTTCTGGCCTAACGCTCAACATCACCATCAGGTAACCATAGAAACTTAATGTTTGCCTATTCTATATAATAATGTTTACTTTCTGTTCAAGAATTTCGAATCATCAAGGGAGGTGTGGGGAGGTGAATCGTATTTCTCTGACACGTGCCATATTTAGTGACACGTGTCAGGAAAATGAGGCTCATCCACCCACCAGTATACAACTTGCAATTAGTGTATCAATTGCAACATTTAAGTCATTGAACAAATAAAACAGTAAAAATAATAAAATAATAAAAGCAGATTTTACAGGAGTACCACGTTCCGACCACGACGAATCCGGAGCACCTGTACAATGGGTACAGCTACCGACACATGGTAGGATGAGTATCACGCGTATCTCATAGCAACACACGCGCAGATTACGCTTTGCACGTGCTGGCGCAGCTGATCTCTGATCGTAAGAAGAATTAGAAGTTAGAAGAAAGGGAGGTGTGTGTGTGTGAAACTGAACGACAATACAGTAAACTTGAACTTTAGACATGGACCTTTGTATTGAGAGGTGGAAGTAGATGATAGCTTAATTTTGATTATATATTTCAAATGAAGTCGAAGTTGATAAATTGTGTGTTGGATGAAATATACTCTTGGCAGGTGGATTATTATTTAAAATATTTTCTCGGCTCTTAGACTGATCAAGACACTCGGTGAAATAATTTCGAGCCGTAAATAAAGACTATACGGGACTAAGTTATTTATTTTTGTAGAAAATTGGCTTTCAAGGCAGCTAAAAGATTGATCTATTGTATTGATCTGTAGTGAGAGCTGCCGAATAGAAATCATCATCATCATCACTATGAAGTTAGGGTAATTAATTTAACCGTAATTCGTTCATTTGACCTACATTTATGCTTTAGTGAATTCGCCTTTTGTATTATAGCACTATTTTCTGTGATTCAATACACTCAGATCAAATAAATTTCTCGTATTTAGATAACTCATATCGCAAAACATTTATTTATTTTCTTGACCAAAGTTTGGTTAATTATGTAAGGTTGGCATACGAGCCATTTACGAATTTAACAGATTTGAGTGTAATTGATTGAACTGTGTAAACTGACTAACTGACTTAGTTTTTTTGAATGAGTTTTACGTTAATAACTGATATTAATTTACGATAGATGTAACCACTATTTAATTGATATATACATAATAATGACTTGTGATTACACATTTGTTTATCTGTGTCAAGATTAGCTAGAGCAGAATCATTCCAAGTTGGTGGGTGAATTTAATGAATCTCAATTATATCTTGAAAAAAAATCTTCCGCCGGAAAAAAGGCCTGTATTTTAATTATCCGTGGTCCACTGGTCCCCACCATAAACTATCAAGTAAAGAAGTAAGCTGGAGACTGATAATGTTTGTCCGACTTCTAGGCCAGAATTCTTCGAATAGACTTTAATGTGCACCAAGAATCGAATTAGGGTCCTCATTTTGGTTCATAGTAATACTCGCTCTTAACATGCTGGACCAGCAGCTATGTGAGCATGCACTAAAATCTGAAATCTAATTGATACACAAACGTCAGATTTAGTACGCATCGGTGTTACAAGATGTTTTTCCGAGCGTGCTACAGTCGACCTTCGAGATTGGCGAAAAACTGTCTCGATCACGTGATATGACCGTATAAGGAAGTTAGTCTAATTTTCGTTAGGGTTAGTGCATAGTGGTTAGCAGTTAGGGTTTCAGCATATGCTTTTGTTAAGGATTGGGTTAGGGTTAGGGTTATGGTCAGATAAGAGGGTTAGGATTTCGAAAAGTCGTTCAGGGCCAGCTAGAGAACGGGTAGAAAAAGACACGTGACAGTCGAGTGTAGACTCATAGAGTGATTAATCATCATCCTACATTTGTAAATGCTGATTTCGATTTAATAGTAATACTATTAGTAAGTTAAAGTATTTAAAGTTATATTTGTGCACAAATTTGTTGTCATACGTTGTATGACCTGCCGCGCACGAGTGCGCGGCTCCCCCTGTATCGTCGAAACTCTATAGTGAAGCGACAGTGGGGGTCACCACGTGATACAACAAATTTGTACTTCAAATCTGTATATTATCTAGTAACAATTACTTTAAAATCAAAACTAACTCTAAGTCTAATCTTAAAGTATAAACAGCTCAAATATCGTTTTATAAGCCTGTCACTGTACTTGTACTTGTAGAGCGATGCGTTGCTGGGCCGCGCCGCGCACTCAATTATGCTTCTCGCAACCACGCTAGAAGTAGATAGGCAAAATGCGCTACTGGATACTTAACTGCAGGGCCTCGCCGAGCTGCGATGAATTGACATTGTCAATTAAGCCTTGCTCTAACCAGAGCCCTCTCGCTTGCAGTAGCGCGCGACCTACTTGTGAAACAAGCGCGTCACGCAGTACGCGTAGGCACATGGCTATGTGAAAATTAAGCCTGTCGCGTGCGCGCGTTTGACAAAAATGGTTATTTGCTCATAACTCGCCAATTAATGATTTGTATGCTACGTAATAGTTTTTATTTGAAATCAGCGTAAAAAATACATTGGTATAGTATGGCTTACTTTCACTAGCACACACACACAGCTTACTCATACAACAAAAACGTACAAGCATGTACTAGCTACACAGAACGGTCAAAATTTGATTGCGCCCCTGAGCGCCACACCACACACAATAAGTTTGAAGTTGCAATAAAACTTGTAAACGTTTTTAATGATTTGATTTGATTTGAAACTTTCACAAAATAGCAAATATTCAATATTAAATATTAAAAATATTTGAAATAGTATTATCTTCACAGCTAGTAGTAGCAAATTTTAGCGGTTAATGATAATGCTGAATGCATCGCTACAATCTGGTAATAATGAATAAAAATGTATAATGCGCGGCGCCAGGCATGGGGAGCGCATTATTCAATTCTTGTGTGCGGCGCTTTATTTGTTATTCGAACTTTTTGCACTATGTGAAGGGAACCGAGCGAAAGATTTGAGATTAGCAAGCTAGATCAGATAATTCCCAATAGTTGAAATTGATGTGCAGCTAGATGATACCAACATTTTTCGCATTTCAACAGTTACAGTTCTCCTACGATCTTCGAAGCGAAGGCCGAAGCTTACTGGGCCGCGCTCAGCCTGTCATTCCGCCTAATCTCTATATGTTTATGAACATGATAGCCTGAGGTCCCCAGGTAAAGCGAAGCAAGCATGATAACGCGCGCGGCGCGTCAAAGCGGCGACGCCCTCCAAAATAAAAGTTGGTTTTGGTCGGTTTAGTTTTGCGCAATGAAACGATGGGTCGGACAAATTAGTTCAACAAACATATTATATCCAATGATCCAAATTTACTTTATAGTAATTGTTAATATAATACAATAAATAATTATTTTATTTTATTTTAGAAACTTTTTTTGCTTTACTTTTTAGTAACTGTAACGTATTTTATATTATAAATCTCAACCAAAAATATTGATAAAAAGCCCAAATAAACCTATTTATGCTTATATGTCATGTTAAACGCGGATAGCATTCATATTTGTGTTTTACATGAAATAAGCATAAACAATAAAAAATTCATCGATTGATGAATAATGCTGCGCACTTGGCACTTCGACTAAATCGTATATGGTATAATCGAATAAAAAATATTGTACAGTTGAATAAAGTGATGTTAGATTTGAAACAATTTTATTTCAAATGGAAATAATCTAATGTACTGAAAGGAAAAACAATCTGTTTCAATGCAGCTCTTAATGATATGGGTGATGGGTGATACTCGTAAAGTATTTGTTCCAAGACCGTCGTCAAGTCCACTCGGCGCCTGTCTTGGTGGGTTATAAACCTACAATGCAGCTCTTACATAGAGTTTTAATTTATTTTGCTTTTCTATTTGACTATTGTTAATGGACTAGCCCGGCACACGCTACTTCGTAGCACTTGCCTCGAGAAAAAAAGCAGCGTGCGCTACTTCGAAGAAATTTAGACGAGTAACATCCGTCAAATTTCTATTTGATGGTGATATGATGCTATCAGCTACAAGTGAATATTCCAGAAGAACAAAGGAAATAAAAGGCTTGTGAGGCTATGATACGGTAATTACATTTCTTGATGTTCGTCTCATTCACCACTTGAACAGCTAATCAAACTAATCAAGATGATAGCCATTATATCTAAAGTTACTGATCCGAACATCTAAGAACAATGAAAGTCCTTACAAATATTTTGTCCCTATTAACCACTATTAATGCGTGATTGAAAAATAGACCTTTGAGTGTTAGCCATTGATTATTCTTGTTCAAAATTGTTCAAATTTTGACACTGTTTCATTGATTTTAACCACAAACGAATTCATCGACCCATAAAAGGGTCTGAAAAAGTTATTTTTCTTTCAATCACCGTTATACCTAATTTATTGATATAGTATAGTGTAGTACCATGTTAACAGTAGACTAAAATTTAGATGTACTGAATAGAATGCTGTAGGGGTGTACCCTAAAGAAGATACTTGATTTTTTGTTAGGGTCCCTAATTTAACCTCTATCAGGGATGATATAGTTTTTTGATACAATTCTTAACGTTGTTAACAACAGTGATTTCTCTCCTTTTCGCATTTCAACAGTTACAGTTCTGCTACGATCTTCGAAGCGAAGCTTACTGGGCCGCGCTCAGCCAGTGGCGTAACGTTGCCTGTTGGCGCCCCCCTGCCGAAAAAAGCACCCCCCTGTTGGCGCCCCCTCTCCTTTTGGTGCCCCTCCCTAAAATTGAACAAATTAGGTGATTCTAAAGAATATGCCGGTAAAATCTCTAAAAAAGTGTGTATCTAGAGCAAAACGCGCAGTTTTGCTAGTACTTTAGTTAAGTTTTCGAAATTGTCCCACATTCAAGCAACGATTTGGCGCCCCCCTAAGACGGCGCCCCCCTGCACAGCGGGGTCAGCAGGGCCTTTCGTTACGCCACTGCGCTCAGCCTGTCATTCCGCCTAATCTCTATATGTTTATGAACATGATAGCCTGAGGTCTAGGTCACCAGGTCCCTAATTTAACCTCTATCACGGATGATATAGTTTTTTGATACAATTCTTAACGTTGTTAACAACAGTGATTTCTCTCCGGGGAGACAGAGGTGCGAGAAAGAACTTTGTTGATATAAATAGTCTAGATTTGAATTTGGAGCCACAAGGCCAAGGGTGATTTTCAAATATTTCTCCCAATATTTGAGATCGGGAATATATTGATTTTTTGAAGGGTTGTTTTATATAGGGTCATTGTGGTCCTAAGGAATGTAATAAGGAGAAAATATCTCTTTAGTAAAGCTCAGCTCAAGCTTATAATCAACAGCATTATTGTCTGCAAATTGGACTACTGCAATGCTCTTTATTATGGAATTAGTGACAACCTCATCCACCAACTCCAACTCGTTCAGAATGCAGCTGCTAAAGCTATAGTAGGACTATATAAATATGATCATCTAGGAGACACTCTGAAAGACCTTCATTGGCTGCCTATTAGTTACAGAATTCAATATAAGTTATTGCTTCTTGTCTATAAATGTCTTAATGGTATGGGACCAGATTATTTAAGTAATATGTTTAAATATGCCAATTATAATCATCTTATCTATTTGACTGAACCTAGAGTGTTTTCACAGTATGGAGAAAGATCGTTTCAGAAAGTTGGCCCTAAATTATGGAATGAGCTGCCTCTTGAAATTAAGAATTGCATGTCACTGGAATCTTTTAAAGTGTATCTGAAAACGTTTCTTTTTAAACGTGCTTATGATATTAATTAATTTACTATTTTTCAATGTTTCTACTGTTAAGTGCATACCCTTAACCTTGTAATTTAATGTATCAAGTCTTTACAATTTTCTATGGTTTGGAACCTAAATGTGGATTGCTTTTCAGGTTTTCTTGCATCCTGACTTGTTTTCGTGGCACACCTGTGCATTTTAAGTTGTTGTGCCACTATAATCTATAAGTTTAAATTATTATTATTATTATTATTTTATGTGTATATTGTTTAATCTAATAAAAAAATAAAAAATTCTTAACGTTGTAGAAGGGCTAGATTAATGCATATAATCCGAATTTAGCCTCACAATCGATAATGGAGCTTCAATTTAATAATAGTGATCAATTAGTGTTATTTGTATACAGCTCGAAAAGGAGAGAAGGAGATGACGCACACATCAAAGAACTCCATTGTATTGGTTGAAAATACAAATATGAATCCTGAGTACTCCTCATAACTTTCAAACTGCTTCATGGACTTCCAACTTTATGGCATGCTCTGTTTAGCAATGATTGGAGTCACATGCAATCAGTTTTAACTTGCTAGCTGCTGACAAAACCACTGCAAATAATAAAGTTTATTTACTGATGCTAAATCGCTCTCTTCAGTGTACAGTTTAAATTGTCATTAACAACACTTTTCTGCTACGGTAGACACTGTGGGGCAACATCATCACCAATCGTCGCGTAGTAGTCCTAGATTTGCATTGAACATTGAAGCTACATATTAGTGAAACAAGCTTAAATTATACTCTTAATTTACAATAAAATAATATAATAAAAATCATAAGCAGTATAGGTTGTTACAGGGATTATTTGCTTGATACATTATAATCTTAAAACCCATGTTTTTCAATGTATTTTTGACTGCTAAATCAATTGAAAGTGGTCTCAAGTGATTTAGAATGAATTTCCATAGGCCTAATTTATATGTTTTTTGACATTTTGAACTGTATTACAATTTTGTGGTATTCTTTGTGAAGCTGATTTTTGGACTATTGTCAGATATGTTCAGCTTACTTATAAATTTATAACAGCTCTTTATATTGTTGTAGGTTGAAATGGTGCTATAAAGGGTATTCAACTATGATGTTAAGTGTAAAGTTAGCTCCAGCTATTAGCACATGCTGTAGAGCACTTGCAGGACATGCTCATTGGCAAAATGTTGCCAAAGTCAAGAATGCAAATGATGCCAAGAAATCTAAACTATTAACTATGTGGATTCCCAAGATTCGTACAGCAGCCAAGGTTGACTCCAATATTGAAAGAAACAGGGAGTTAAAGAGATTGGTTGAAAGTGCTAAAAAGGAGGGAGTTTCCCAAGGAGTTATCCAAAAAGCCATCACAGCTTGGGAGAGTCAGGACTTCAAAGAACACCAATTTGGCATTCAAGGCCGCGAGGGTTTCACTGCTCTCATTGACTGTGCTTCAACATCAATCAAAAAGACTGAAAACGATATTCAAACTCTCTTGCGAAGGCACAATTTCAAATATGCTTCTGTCGCCTTCATGTACAATAAAATAAAGGATATTGAGTGCCAACTTCCTGAAAATATCTCTGAGAATGACATCGAAGAGCTTGCTCTTCAATGTGGCACTGAAGAGTTTTTTGTTGATCATGAAAACAACAAAATAACATTTATTATCGATGCTGAGGAAGAAAGAGAAGTTACTAACGAAATAAAAGAATGTGACCTTGATGTTATTTCAACATCTTCTCGTTATGTTCCCATTGAATTGGCCTCCATTTCTGAATCGGACACTAAAAAGAGGATAGCCATGTTTATGAAAAGTTTGGGAGAGTTGTCAGAGGTGGAAGATGTCCACCATAATGTTGAAAATATGGATGAGATTATGGCTGCATCATAACACAGTGTGTGTGCGAGTAAACTAGCCTTGCTGGGCTTTAGTTGGTTTTACATCATGTCAGTTGATATGTTATGTTATTAATTATGAAAAACGATTTTGTCTAAATTCCTGTGGCCTGAATGATAAAGTTTGTCTGTTTTTTTTATAGGATTTATTGTTAAAAATTTGAAATTTGCAATATTAAAGAATTTTATTTTTTACTTGATAATAAGAAAACTGCTTACATAGTTTACTTTTGAAAGTCACAATTTAAAACTTGAAGTTAACCTCGAGCACAATTACTTTCAATATAAATTTTAGGCAGTGATCTAGTATTGGAGCAGTTAACATAATGAACAAATTCAGAAGGTAAAACAATGCTGCAGACAATCAGCTCAATCTTAGAACGTACACTTATTTTGACAATATGTTGTACATTCATTTATCTTGTGTCTCACCATTTAGCTGTTGAAAGGATGCAAGACCCGAAGCTAAGTACAATGGACCACCTCTCTACGAAAAGCTCGGTATTTCATCCTACTCAGCTGGGAGCAGGGGGTCAGCAGGAGATATTCAGGCACATGAAGCGACACTATGACAGATTGGGCCGGGTTACCGCTGCCACTGATTCTTCGCCTCCTAAATCTTATAAAACCTCTACTTTGGGTATAAATTATTGTCAACTGTTGTCTGGATGGAAAAGTGCTAGATTTTACAGCACCTGGTTAATTTCTATAGCTATTGTAATCGATATTAACACATTTAATCTACTAATTATATAAGGACTGAATCAGTTATGTATTTATAACTAACATCATGTTAGTTATTTAACTAACATCACAGTCTCAACTTTTTAATAATTAAACTTTTTCAGCTCGGGATAGGGAGAAAAAGCATCACGTGGTAGATACCTTCAAACTTCCAGTTACTTCAAAGTTTATTGAGGTAAAATTGTATAAAACATAGATTGGATTTTAAGTAATAGTGCTTTCCCATAGATTGGATTAAGATGTTTTCATTATATTGACTTGATTAATTAATGGGATGATAAATGATGGAGTATTTAGCTGTTTATTAGTCTCATGATTGAAATACTGATAGTTGGATAATATCGTTGTCTCTTCCAACCGGATATTATCCAACTATTAGTAAGTAATGGGATGTTAAATGCAATTAATTCGAGAATTTCCAAAAGTCGGTCGCGAAAAATGACAAAAATATCTCCACGTCTAAAAACTAGCACTTTTCTCAGGAGCACATCCAGAGACAGAGTCAGCACAGTGAAATGATATCGTTACAGACCAAAGACTCAGACATTCAAAGTATCTTAAGACATGTTCCGGAACTAAGGAAGAATATTAAGTTCAAATCAAGTAAGAGGTATTTCGCTGTCTAAGGTTTATGAATATAATGCAAAAGCTAATTTGATATTTGTTTGCTAACAACTTTGGACGAGCATCTAATTTTCTTGAGCCGTTTTAAAATAAAAAGAAGATTTTCAACTGTGAAATAATACACAATATTACAGAATCAGAAACTAGTCTTGGAACAAATGAATTGGAAGTCATGGCAGATGGTAAACCAGAAAAAGAAGAAGTTATTCCAAAAAAAGAAAAGGAAATTCTTCCAAGAGAAGACAAAGAAGTTGTTCTAAGAGAAGAGATTCCTTTGACCAGCCGCAGTCTCAAAACACCTCTCACTCCAAGAACACCCCTCCGCAACTCTGAGTATAGAAGCAACATTGTTGGAACCACTGAACAGTACGTTAACTTAATCAAATAACCTTGATTTTCATAATTGCAAACAAAAGTGTCAAAAACTGAAATTAATTCTCGGGAGCCGTTCTACATTCTCTGACATTGTCAATTGCTAATTGAAGTCTAACCCTGTCAACTTCCACAGTGACATGGAGATGAAGTATTTGACATTTGTATCAGATATAACGAGAGAAATCTTGACTTCCTCCATCTCGAGTGACAGGTAATTATTGTTAATAAATTCACATATTATGGTAATGTTCGGGCGATGATTTACGTTGCGTCACCACATAAACATGATAAATATAATCCTTTATATTACCACATATCAATCCTTTATTTTAAACTGTCCACTGTCCAGTGCAGTACCTGTTATCACAAATAATATTTATCCCCGTGTTTTGTAATACTGGTTACAGTTGCAGTGGTACTGGCGCGGCGCCACTCGCCAGTACCACTGCCAGTGGCGCCACCACAAATCTGAAATCACTGAGTCGAGTAGATCTAATATTCTAAATCTGAGCAATAATTAGGGCCCGGATAATTACCAGAACAGTAATTAATAAATATTAGTGATAATTAGTAATTATTAAATCTTAAATTTAATTACAGAGCGTTAAACATGTTGTTTGAGAGACATCTGAACCTGAATAAGGGGAACCTCAACGAGTCTATCATGAGAATGCGAGTAGAGGAACTGAAAATAAAGCTCGCCATAAAGTCCTGACAGTGTTATAATAAAGAACATGTGTACAGTGTAAAATATGTATAAAGATTGTTTTTTAGTGCCCTTTAACCACATTTATCTCTATTTTTAATGTATTGTGAACACTCCTAACATTTATTTGACTGTCTTAGTGTCTAGACGGGTTTATTAACGACCGGTTAAAATATGGTTCGGGAAAAATATGGCGAAATTGCTCAAAACCCACCACATTTTCCCGGTCGCCATTTTACCGGTGTCCAACCTTTCAATTTTAGATTCAAAAATTTTGTCTCAGATGTAAATTTCCTTATTAGAGATATAAGCAAGTTTAGAAATTTTCGCTTTGCTAAAACTTGTGAAACAAGTCGAATTATCAATAATTGTTGAAAGTAGACAGAAATAATGACTCTTGGTTAATCAAACTAGATGGAAAATAATTTTTAACATTTGAAGCGTAGCCGTAACAACCAGATCGATATTAAGATAAAGGGAGAGCTGTTTAGTCTTCCAATAAGTTGTAATCATCTTCGTTATCTTCATCTGGATCATCCATTTCATCAGTTTTAATTAATTCAAGTTTTAATTTAACTGTTACTTTTACTTTGAGCCCTATTTCATTATGTAGAGATAGTCAATACCTAAGAAATTAAAAATTGGCCTATTTAAATCAAATTTGACAATATAAGGACAATATAAGGATATATGACAAGAATTGGGCAAAAAGGTGAATTTTTTGCAATTTTAGCCAAATGAAGTCGAAAAACCTACAACAAGTGTCCCAATAGTCTTCTTTAGTGAATATAAGACAACGATTAAAATATGAGCACCCATACCCCTTGGGAACCCTAAAAGCTGAGTAGGCGGGTTTATTAACGACCGGTGAAAATGTGGTTCGGGAAAAATATGGCGAAATTACCCTAAACCCACCACTTTATCCCGGTCATAATAATCCCGAGTAAGGTAAATACATTTCCTTATATCATGTAATCACTTGTCTTAATGTAACCAGATTTTGCAGCTGTTTTTCTATATTACATGCATGTGAGTGTTACTAAGTGTTTTGTGTGTTTTTATCCGATAAAGATATTTGAAAGTTTGAGTCTGCCATTGAGTGGCGTATATCATATTTCTATAATCTATAACATATAAGCATATTATGTAAATAGTGTATGTAGATAGTGTACAGTATCAAATGTGTTTATTAGTAGCATTTTATGTTCATTTAGAATCTTTATTCTTATTATATAAGTGTTTATAATTATAAGTGCTTATAATCATCTATATTTATTTATATTTTCAATTTATGTTGATATATTAGCGACGTCACACAGTTTGGCATCTTAGCAAAAAGTTTAGGCTATTTTTCTATACTGTGTTAATTAAACTGTCAGAATTGTATAATAATGTTATCAGCTCGCCATTACATTGGTTTCGGATTTGTGTGTATTGTATATTTTATCAGTTAGTGGCATTGTGTGGATTGTGGGTTGATCATTACTTTATCTTGGTAAATATTAACCAATTTTGTTTCAGTCAATGGTGCAGACCATGCTAGGAAATATAAGCTTGCCTTTACAAATTGCTTCTGAAAATGCTGATTACCAATGTCATGTTATCAAAGTGATTCCAGATTTTAAGTTTGAATCCTTATCAGGGTTATCAGTACATATAATTTCGACACCTTAATGGTCTTGTAAAGTACGATTATCATTCAACTATACTTTATTTTACACGCCTCTTGTTTCATTTCTAAGCGTTCATTGAAATTTGTCCAATTTTTTAATTTTTCAAACTTCTTAACATTCAATATCTATCTCTTAAATTTTGACTTGTGAAGACTTATCAAGATTCATTTATTCGTTTCTATCCATTTCTATTCTATTCTATCCCTGCAATTAATCATTAAGACCCCACTCTTTTCTAGCGATCTGTAGTGTGGTACAGTGCACTTAGTGCAGCATGTCAGTACACGAAATGAACTACTCCGAGAAGTATTCTGATACCAAGTTTGAGTACCGTCACGTAACCATTCCCAAAGACCTGGTCAGTTATTCATCTTAACGTTATTCATCTTAACGTTATTCATCTTAACGTTATTCATATTAACGTTATTCATCTTTACGTTATTCATATTAACGTTATTCATCTTTACGTTATTCATATTAACGTTATTCATCTTTACGTTATTCATCTTAACGTTATTCATCTTAACGTTATTCATCTTAACGTTATTCATCTTAACGTTATTCATCTTAACGTTATTCATCTTAACGTTATTCATATTAACGTTATTCATCTTTACGTTATTCATATTAACGTTATTCATCTTTACGTTATTCATCTTAACGTTATTCATCTTAACGTTATTCATCTTAACGTTATTCATCTTAACGTTATTCATCTTAACGTTATTCATCTTAACGTTATTCATCTTAACGTTATTCATCTTAACGTTATTCATCTTAACGAGGATTTTATTTAAAATGTTCATTGTTCAGTTAGATTTTAGATACAGGCTTTTTACAAAATTTTCCCTCTTCAAAACGATAAGTCCAAACAAAGCTCTAAAAACAAAATTATAGTTGTCACCCATAATATTACTTTTGATTACCATAACGTTTAAATGTTTCTAAACACGTGACCCCGCCCCACTAACCACGTGACCCCGCCCCACTAACCACGTGACCGGCCCAGGTGAAGCGTATGCCGAAGCGTCTAATGACAGAAGACGAGTGGAGGAGACTCGGAGTGCAGCAGAGTAGAGGCTGGGAACACTACATGATCCACAGTCCGGAACCACAAATACTCTGCTTCCGACGCAACCTCAACTACACCCAACAGAATCAATGAACACGTGCCATGTGAGATGGACGGTGCTGGAATGTATGCATTCCACGCATGGAACTCTAATTTATATATGTTATCTATTAAATAGTTCATGATAGGTATTTCATTCCGGTGCGAGACAACTCATTTTTTACTAAATCTATTTTATTAGATGTGACAATCTTTTTTAATCGTAGTTTCACCCACTAACGCCGTTTTTTAGCGTGTCAGCCAATTTTTAGGTTGAGTATCACCAATCTTTTTGAATTGATACCGTTCTAATTATTAGAACCCACATTGCTGTTTTACACCCAGTACATTGCTGTTTTTTATTAGGAAAAACTTTTTACACCCAGTACATCATGATATATTTTTAATTGGTCGCCAATAAACGTGGTTTTGGAAGTTTGTTATTATTGAAAAAGGTTGTAGTAACTTGATGAACTGACATGATATATCTGTACAGTCTATGTCATCTTTTTCTTCGTCTATTACAAAACGGAAGTTTAGATCATTGGTGAGATATTCCGATGATCACGTTTCCGACAAAATAGCCCACTTGTGGTTATGAAAATGTTTGAGAAATTGTTATCAAATCTAGAAACTACGCAAAACGGAATGTAACCAAAATTTATTATCTGGGACAGATTATTTAGTTGAATCTTCTCCGACAGCACATCTTTCATTGTCAGGTTTATGAAAAAATTCATAAATTCGCACTTTATCCGATTGCAGATGTCTCAATAACTCAATTACTAAATATAACTCAATTACTAAATAAATAAATAACTCATTTGCACTCTGCTAGGTCCCTTATGTGGTGCAATGGGGAAAAACAAGCGAAACAAGCGGCAAGACCTGGACTTGGACCAGTCGTGAGTATTTAGTTTTAATACCCCCCCCCCCCCCCCCCCCCTAATTTAGAGACTAGAGAGCCAAACCTTTTACAAGCTTGCTTTAAGGAAGTAAGAAAGGGAGCTTAAAAACCTGCTTCATTATCAACTTAAATATACAAAATTTTAGCTTTATATTATAATGCATCATGAGATTGCCATGTCTGTTAGTCTGTGCAAATGTATCTAACCTTTTAAATGTAGAACCGTTACTACAATATTAACGGTTTCAGAGATGAAGAGGTCGAACCAGTAGTCCCTGTACCCGCTGGTAAACCCAAGAAGAAAAAGGGAGGTAAAGCTGCTCCACGGTTCGCACTTCTTGAATCTGAGGAGGATAATGAGAAGAGCGGGTCCGAGGCGGAGGAGGAGGTGACTCCGGCTCCAGCAGCTAAACCAGCCGGGAGGAAGAAGAAAGTACAGAACGCTTTTGCTTTGCTAGGAGACGTCAGTGATGATAGTAGTGATAGTGATGTTAAAGGTGAGTTCTGAACATGTGTGAGAGCCCCTCAGGCTCTCAAATGTATTTAATCCTCTTTTATATTTCGCTGACTTCTCAATTTCCTACTTTGTGATATTCTGTGTAAATTTGTTTCTGATTCTAATTAGTTAGTAATTGCCATCTAATGACTAATTGTGTTCCCTCAGACGTGTCTGAGAAGATGGACGAACTAGCAGTATCAGGACCGGTGGAGGCAGCAGTAGTGGACCCTTTTGCTGAGGGCAGCGAGGAGGAGACTAAGGCGAAGAAGAAGAAACCCCAGCCAACTCCTGCACCTGCAGGTACGGACTGTTTTCTTTTGTATTAATTCATTTTTTGCCTGTTCGTGTGAAACATTTATCTGTGTTCATATTCTTTAAACAGGGTTGTCAAGAACAGGTAACGTGCAACAAAAGCTTATCTTATAAAGCAGCATTTTAGCGGGTGGGTAACCTGTTTCAAATCCGTTGGTTTACCACAGGTAAAACTGTGTTAAACTCTGTTGTTGCTAATTGGTATAATATGCCATTATTTATCGTGAACCGTTCAGGAAACGAACCTGGGACCGTAAAAACAAAAGCCCAGAAAGCAGCCGAGAAAAAAGAGAAGGAAAAGAAAAAGAAAGAACAAAATAAGGTACAAATTATTTATTAGTTGAGTTATCAGTCGATTAATTAAGTACTTTGATAGCTTGTCATCTATGTTTATCTTCATATCATATGATATAATAACGTTGATGAAATGATAAATTAATCGAATCTTCTCAGGCCAAGAAGAGTAAAGAAAATGACGAGTTCGCTGCTGCGCTGGCAGAAGCAGGAGTAATCATGGCAGAAGATTATCCAGAGGAAAAAAAGGTATGGAATCAGCTTTATTATAGTCGGTGGAAAACTTGTTAATCAGTTGTTCTAAAGTTTAGATTCAATCAGCAGGAAACGATTAGCTACGTGCAACTTATACCATTCCCTTTTTCACGCCTAACTTCTCTCTTTTCAGTCTAAAAAGAAGAAAAAGAAGAAAGCAGCAGCCGCAACGGAAGAAATAGCTCCTGAAGAAGAAGGAACATCAGCATCTGTAGCTGAGACCCCCAAAGCGGAAGTAGCTCCAGTCGAGGTGGTACCTGCTCAACCTGCAGTTGAGGAGACCAAGCCTGAAGAGACAAAACCAAATGAGGAGCAGGCTGAAGAGAAGAAATCTGAGGGAGAGGAAGGAGAGGAGGCGGAGGAGGGGGAGGAAACTGGTTTGTTATATTACCTCCTCGTTCATTATTTCGCATATTTTGTACTTTAGTTTCGTGGAGTAGTTGTTTCCTTGCCTTCCCTAAGCAAATTTATAAATAATTGGTAATAAATCTTTACAGGGGCAAAGAAAAAGAAGAAAAAGAAGAAGAAGAAGGGAGCAGCCGCAGAAGTAGAAAAGAAACCAACTGCTCATGCTCGACGACTTAAAGAGCATCTTGACATGATGAAGGCTCAAGAGGTAAAATCCGTTTACTTGATAATGGTGTCCATCACTGTTACATCATTACCAAATCTGGCATAAAATTAGTCATATGAAATCATCTACACATTTTCCCTGCACCTCTGTACTGACACAGTGAAATATGCACCAATCTCGACAATTTTATGTGACTGAAATTCTAACAGGAAGAACAAAAACGTCAAGAAGAAGAAGCAGATAAAGAAGCTGATAGGTTAGAAGAGGAGAGACTTGAGAAGATAAGACTCGAGGAAGAAAGAAAACAGCGGAGAAAAGAGAAAGAAAAGGAACGCAAGGTGAGGCTGGTTTAATTTGAAGATAAGAGAAGCTTTACCATGGTGTCATATAATGGGATTTAATACTGTGGGTACTTTGGACCATGGCATTATAAGCATTGAAAGATCATATCTGATACCTAAGTGAACAAAGGTTCGTTTTTTTAGGAGAGAAGAAAGAAGGAAGGAACATGGCTGACGAAAGCTGAGCGAGAGAAGCGAGACAAAGCTCAAGCTGCTCTAGAAGTTATGAAACAGCAGGGCATTATCGTAAGTTTCTTATAATTACTTCATAATGACCTTCCTAGTCCCCACTCCCTAGTCCCTAGTTTTCAGTTTTTCAGATAAAAATAATTAGCTCTTTATACTCACTTTGTATAAGTTAAAATATGCCACCTACCAAGGTCCCTCTTAAAACCAACCTAAGATCTGTATACATTTATTTAATGTGGCATTTTTTCCGTTAAATTTTGATATCGGTAGA